CAGTCAGATTTTCTCTAAATGCTTTAGTTTCAGAGATATAAACCAAAAACTGCATTTTACCCCTATGTTCTATTTTTAACCAAGTCGGCCATGATGGTTGGAAGGCGGGGTCATCGGACAAATTTTTTAAACTAGATACCCTAATAATGATTATGGCCAAGTATGGTTAAATTTGTCTCAGTAGTTTCAGAGAAGAAGATTTTTGTAAAAGATTACAAAAATTTACAAAAAATTGTTAAAAATTGACTATTAAGGGCAATAACTCCTAAAGGGGTCGACTGACAATTTGGTCATGACAACTTATTTGTAGATCTTACTTTGCTGAACATTATTGCTGTTTACAGTTTATCTCTATCTATAATAATATTCAAGATAATAACCAAAAACTGCAAAATTTCCTTAAAATTACCAATTCAGGGGCAGCAACCAATCACTTTTACCCTATGTCAGATTTACTCTAAATGCTTTGGTTTCAGAGATATAAGCCAAAATCTACATTTTACCCCTATGTTCTATTTTTAGCCATGGTGGCCATCTTGGTTGGCAAGGTCATCGGACACATTTTTTAAACTAGATACCCTAATGATGATTGTGGCCAAGTTTGGGTAAATTTGGCCCAGTGGTTTCAGAGGAGAAGATTTTTGTAAAAAGCTAACGACGACGGACGACGAACGACGGACGCCAAGTGATGAGAAAAGCTCTCTTGGCCCTTCAGGCCAGGTGAGCTAAAAAAATGAGGAAAACTGATTATTTGCTTGAATTTTCAAAGTCCAAGGACCATTTCTTTGCACAAAATCATCAGACTGGAACAAAATTCAAACATCATCTGTAACTGGTCATGATAAAACTTTATACCAAATATCAAATCAATATCTTCATGCACAAAGAAACAAGAGGCTCTCAGGAGCCTGAATCGCTCACCTGTAATTTTTTGCTTAAATCTTTCATCAACAATTATTTCTGCCTTTTAATATATATTAACGAGTGGCTTAAAAAATCCATTGAGGTATTCTTTGTATCTGTCATATTTTCCCCAAAAGCAAAGAAATACATTTTACCCATAGTGGCTATGTTTCTTGATGTACAAGAAAATAAAATACAAAATTTATACTAGATACTCTGAAACTCATTCAGCCCAAGTTTGGCTGAAATTGATTCAGCAGTTTCAAAAAAAAAAGAAGATTTTTTAAAGTTAGAAAACATGATAAACAAATTGTGTAAAATTGTCCTCAAAGGGCAATAGTCCTTAAGGGGTCAATTGACAGTTTTGGTCACATAAACTTATTTGTAGATCTTACTTTGCTGAACATATTTGCTGTTTACAGTTTATATTTATCATTAATACTATTTAGGATAATAACCAAAAACTGCAAAATTTCCTTAAAATTACCAATTTAGTGGCAGCAACCCAACAATGGGTTATTAAATTCATCTGAAAATTTCAAGGCTGATAGAACTTCACCTAATGTTTACCCCAGGTCAGATTTGTTCTATCTCCTTTGGTTTTTAGATATAAGCCAAAAACTGCTTTTTATCCCTAAGTTCTATTTTTAGCCATGGTGGCCATGTTTTTTAAAGAAACAGAAAATAAAACACAAACTTTATTCTAGATACCCTAAGGATCATTCATCATAAGTTTGGTTGGAATTGGTTCAAATTATAAAAGATTTTTAAAGTTAGAAAACATGATAAACAAATTGTGTAAAATTGTCCTTCAAGGACAATAACTCTTTAAGGGGTCAATTGACAGTTTTGGTCATATAAACTTATTTGTAGATCTTACTTTGCTGAACATATTTGCTGTTTACAGTTTATCTTTATCATTAATACTTTCCAAGATAATAACCAAACACTCAGAATTTCCTTAAAATTACCAATTTAGTGGCAGCAACCCAACAATGGGTTATTAGATTCATCTGAATATTTCAGGGCTGATAGAACTTTACCTTAAGAACACTTTCACTCAGGTCAGATTTGCTCTAACTGCTTTGGATTTTGAGATACAAGCCAAAACTGCATTTTACCCCTATGTTCTATTTTTAGCCATGACGGCCATGTTTTTTGACGAAACAGAAAATAAAACAAACTTTATTCTAGATACCCTAAGGATCATTCAGTTTAAGTTTGGTTGGAATTGGTTTAGTGGTTTCAGAGGAGAAGATGTTTGAAATAGTTTACACCAGACGGACGACGACGGAGGACGCCAAGTGATGGCTAAAGCTCACAGTTCCTTCGGAACGGTGAGCTAAAAAAGTGTGGAAAACTGATTTGCTGGACTGAAGGATGGACAGACAGACAGACAGACATATGGAGTGCAAACCTAAAGTCCCCTTATACTTCATCGGTAGGGGACTAAAAATATAGCACCAGACTAAAACTCCAGAGCACCATATGTCTATATACAAAAAAATCTAGATTCAGAAATACAGTTTTCTATTGCTGCTTCCAATCATTTGATTATATACTCATGGCTCACCTTTAGTTGTTTTTTTTGTAAGCAACAAAGACAAAAACAAATTGAATGGCACAACTTTAATTGTAAAACTGTTCTAGCTTGTTAAAAGCTGTACAGTATTGTTCCAATCAAACAACACAAGGCCAGAGTTGTGATAGACAGATAATAGAATAGCACATATTAAATGCATATTATTTACATTATTTATTATGGTAATAATATATCATAACTGATATATATTTAAGAATGTAATGCAGACCCAAATACAATGTATAATGTAAAATTTTTAGGGTAAACAGCTGATACAGAAAAAGTCAGTGTAGCCAAATGTTTTGTTTGTAATATTGTCAGTGTTTTGTTTTTAATATGTAGAAAAGATATTATATAAATTCAGAGATTAATGTGATTAAGTTCAGTTCTCATTTTGTTATTTTAATTATGCATTTCCAATAGTAGAAATGTAACTGAGATTTATTAATTTTATTTATCATTTGCAGTATCTAATAAATAAATGCATTATTTTTTAAATTCTAATAATTTTCATTTGGATTATTTTATCATTATTAAAAAAGGATACACTGAAAACAGGGATAAATGTATCATGTTCCTTAAAAACTGTTATCAACCTACTTGCTATATGTTTCTCTTATAAATATCATCTTTAATTCAAGGCTACACCAAATGTATATCTATTTTCAACTTTTTTTTTCAAAATTTAAAATTTAAAAAGCATTTGAGTCAGATAGTACATATTAGTTTCTAATGCTTTAAATTTTCATTTGTAATTGAAATTTGCAATAAATGATGAACAACAATCTTTCACAACATTACATAGTCATTACATTTGCATCACTGCAATAAAATGTTTTGTTAATATACTCCATAAATATGACAGTAATGTTAACAACACTAAAATCTTAATAAAATGCTCCGCTGGGGCGCAGCTTGATACGACCACAGAGGTCGAACCCTGAACAGTTGGAGCAAGTATGGACACAACATTCAAGCTTGATACAGCACTGAATTTGGATAGTAATTAAATATTTGACACAGCATAGGTTTCTGACACAGAATGAAAGTGGTCTAAGAACTTAAAAAATTTTAATTTACCTATTCAAACCATATCATTATTATTTGCTTTTATATATAAATCAGAAATAACCAATTTAAAATGGAAAATTTTAAAGAAAAAAAAAATCCCCCCCCCCCAATTTTTTGAACCCCCTTATGATTCATCACCCCCAAACTCAATCCCAGCCTTCCCTTTGTGGTATGGTACCTTGCAGTACAATTTCAGAGAGATCCATACACTTGAACACAAGTTATTGTCTGGAAACTAGAAAAATGCTTGTTTTTTGGCCCCTTTTTGGCCCCAAATTCCTAAACGTTTAGGGCAATTACCCCCAAACTCAATCCCAGCTTTCCCTTTGTGATATGGAACCTTGCAGTACAATTTCATAAAGATCCATACATTAACACAAGTTATTGTCCTGAAACTAGAAAGTTGCTTGTTTTTTGCCCCTTTTTGGCCCCTAGTTCCTAAAATTTGGAGGCAATTACCCCCAAAATCAATCCCAGCATTCCCTTTGTGATATGGAACCTTGTGATACAATGTCAGAGAGATCCATAGACTTACACACAAGTTATTGTCATGAAACTAGAAAAATGCTTGTTTTTTCCCCCTTTTTGGCCCCTAATTACTAAAATTTTGAGGCAATTACCCCCAAAATCAATCCCAGCCTTCCCTTTGTGGTATGGTACCTTGCAGTACAATTTCAGAGAGATCCATACACTTGAACACAAGTTATTGTCTGGAAACTAGAAAAATGCTTATTTTTGGCCCCTTTTTTGCCCCTTTTTCCTAAAATTTTTGGGCAATTACCCCCAAACTCAATTCCAGCTTTCCCTTTGTGATATGGACACACACTTACACACAAGTTATTGTCATGAAACTAGAAAACTGCTTGTTTTTGGCCCCTTTTTGGCCCCTAATTCCTAAAATTTGGAGGCAATTACCCCCAAAATCAATCCCAGCATTCCCTTTGTGATATGGAACCTTGTGATACAATGTCAGAGAGATCCATAGACTTACACATAAGTTATTATCATGAAACTAGAAAAATGCTTGTTTTTTGCCCCTTTTTGGCCCCTAATTCCTAAAATTTGGAGGCAATTACCCCCAAAATCAATCCCAGCATTCCCTTTGTGATATGGAAACTTGTGGTACAATGTCAGAGAGATCCATACACTTACACACAAGTTATGTCTGGAAGTTACAAAAATGCTTATTTTTGGCCCCTTTTTGGCCCCTAAATCCTTAACTGTTGGTACCATAACCCCCAAAATCAATCCCCACCTTCCTTTTGTAGTATTGAACCTTATGCTTAAATTTCATTGAGATCCATTCACTTAAACTAAAGTTAGAGTGCGAAAACTAATGTGTCTTCGGACAACGACGCCGGACTACACCTCCTCCGACGACGATGACGACGCCAACGTCATACTAATATACGACCGCAAAAATTTTTTTGCAGTCGTATAAAAAGCTTTGAAATGCAGAATATTGTCTACCGTAACTTAAATTTGTAATTGCAACATTTTAAATTACAAACCAAATCTATATCATGATACCAGTATCATCTATTTTTACTATACAAAACACTCCTTTTATAATTGTATACAATGGTAAAAATTCATTTTTCAAAGAATTAAATTTCATATAGAATGCAAAATATTTTACTAGACATTTTCAAGCAATATTCACTCAATAGTATAAAATAAGGAGATGTGGTATGATTGCCAATGAAACAACCATCCAACAGCATCCAAATAATGTGGATGACCCAGTCCCTTAGAGTGATAAATTAAAACAACAATATCACACAACTCCAGCCCTTATATCACAACCATATTGGATACAACAAAATCTTTCAAAAATTACAATAAATATTTTATATACAAATCTAACTAGAAACTCAACTTTGATTGACTTGATAGCACAATGTACAGAAAACTGATAAAAAAAACTTATTGGAATGTGGTATATAGCTTTAATAAATGACAATATCTTACATTTACCCTTAAATTCTTTACTATCAGAAATCATCAGTCTACTATCAGGAATATTCATTTCAAGAAAAGCACTGTATTTTTTTTAAATCTTAAATGACCAGTAAACATTCAAGTGGTTAAAAATTATAGCTATATTCTCTTGTGATCCTTGTCGTCAAAATAGAAAATTTACTCACTCAAAAACAATTGTCTCTTTTTCAGTATCATCTTCTTTACTTACAAAAATATTGTTTGTTTTTCCGTTCAGCCTTCCTGATTTCATGGAAAGCAGATTTCAAGACTTTAAGTAAGCATTAAATGACAGAATAATTTATAAACTATAATTAAGGTGTATAATTTGTACAAAATACTGGAATGCACATCATGGCAAGGATCCTATAATGATGAAAATGGCAAAAACAAATGTGGAATACAAAAATATTGGAATGTGAGAATCAAAAACTATGGATGGTAATGCAAGAACACATCTTATCTATAGTTTATTCTTAAAATGCAATGTCATATAGAAAATGATCACAGGTAAAGCATGTAATAACCAATCATTACTAGCCAAAAAGTACTGAATATTAATTTTACTTTTAAAGTAATCTTATTTGTAGATTTTAATTTCTGTGTTTTACTGAGAAGTGATGTAGCTAAGCTGCTAGAGTTATAGGTTTAAATTTTCTACAAAAAATCATATCTGAATTTTATTTTCTTAATTTCTTCAAAGAATCATATCTGAAGTTTTATTTTTTTATTTCTTAAGACTTTGTAGTTGTAACTAAGCTGTGGACTCAAAACTAAAAACAACAGTTTGTTAAACTATTTGACAAAATGTTGCTTAAATAAAATATATTAAAATGTGTAAGTCATTGAGCTTGTTTTCAAACAAGAATTTAGAAGAATGCTGGGAAACTCCTTTTTGTAGATGTACAAGCAACCTCTATTGCACTTAAAATATATCAGAAGAAATGTTCAAATACATTAATGCAGGTATCCTTTGGCTGATCTGCATGTAATTTCTATATAACATAGCATACATTATAGCCAGCATTCCCTATACCTTAAAAAAAAAAAAAAAAAAAAAAAACAGATAAATATTGATTTGTGATTATCTTATACTGATGTTTTAGTTTTCTTTCTCTTGAAGAAACAAACATATTTGTAATGTATTCTTCTACTACACTACTACAATTTCATGAGTATGAATTTTGATTGCATTGAGCAAAATCTTACGTTTGTATGATAGTTAATTGTGCTTGGGTTGTTGGTTTTTTTTTGCAACTAAGTTAAAACTTGAATGTAAATAAATACTTGATTTTAATTTGCTTATCTACACATGATTCAGAAAAACTTTATACAATTTAATGGTATTTTTCTTGAAGACATAGAACACCTAGTATATGATTTTCTTTTCAATTTCAGGTTTTTATTGTCAAGTCAGTTTTTGCTTAAATGTAATTTATGTGTTTGTATTGTTCAAAGTGTACAAAGATTTTGACAATTCAGTGAAAAATTATAAAATAATGAAATGCTAACAAAAATACATGTATGGAGGTCAGAGGTCATTTATAAGTAAGAATAGTCTAGTTTTTCAATACTTTATAAAAAAAAAAATAGGTGATTATCTTGATGGTATGTATCATTTTCAGTAATTAAACTTCACATAATATAAACCATAATGCCCTAGTAGATATAGAAAGTCATAAAAAAAGTTGTCAGATGAAATATATTTAATAATAGCCTGAATTTTTAATGCAAAAAATATATGTTAATAAAATATATTGTTATATGAAAAAAAAAATATATAGCAAAATATCTATTATGAATAATTCAAGTTTGCATTTTAATATAAAACTGGGATGGAATCCACATGCAAGGCAAAATTAATCTCTAATATTGCTGTATACCACAATGTGTATAAAGGCACAATTTGTCCAGTCTTCAAATAATCAGATTTTTACTGGGTAAAAAAAATATGTACTGTAAAAATTCGAAAAATTTATATAATTGTTGAAAAATTCTATGAATTCCCTAAATTTTGCTTTCACACAAGAATTACTGAACGCATCTGCACATAACTATTACAATTGTATAATATTGTTACTGTGTGATTAATACATTCTAGCATTTGAAATTGGAGTTTCAGTATGAAGTTGATTTAAAAAAAAAAAATTTAAACATGCCATACTGGGGGTAATTTTAGATCTGTATCTTAAAATTATACAAAAATATTTGAATATTTTTGTCATTTATGAATAAATACAATGTTAAACTATGCTATTTCAGCATATCTTTTCACACTAACCATTGAAATTAAAAATGAAAACATAAAACATGGAGGAGAATTATTTATATGCTCCTTCCTGATAAATAATGACAAGACAGTTTGTTATTCTGAATGTGACAGTATATGATTGTTAGTTGAAACTGTTTAATATTCCTGGTATACTTTGATCAAAAACTAAAACTTAACATTTTTTTTAAAATCTTATATAAATCTACAACCCAATAAAATAAGACAAAAAAAAATGTGCAACATTCAACAGAAATAATACAAATATAACAGATCTATTACATTTTTTACTTTTTTACAACATTTTTTTATGTCACAAAAGATGTATTTCAATTCCTTGCTTATAAGTCTGAGACATTTTTAGCACAATAATTATTATTTGCCACACCTTGGCATAAAGCTGGACAATGTTGTACTAAATCATAAGAATATTGACATCAATGTTGAAAGGCAAAATTTATCCTTGAGAAAATTAAAGAGACACATGCAAATATGTTTCACTTTAATCAGCTAGCTATATAAAGCTGTATCTGTAAAAGTACATGTGACATACAGGAGCTCTTTAAGACAAAAATTGATCATAAGTTTAATGCTCATGACTTGTAAATGTATCCAAAAAGTCTGCGACTCATTTCACTAAAAATCTTACGAGAAAAAGTTTACTTCTTGACTTTATATAAACAAAATTTTACTTCATAGAATATTAAATAAATGCAAGTTTTATTAATAATGACATTATAGACCAAAAATGATGAAAAAACAAACATGTAATATATTTACAAATGATTTTTATGGAATAAAATAAAATTAATACTGATAACTATCTTCAAAACAATAAAAAAAAAACCAACTATATAAGTGAACAAATACTGGTAAGTACATTTACAAAAAAATAGAAATAAAATTCAGATTTTTTTTTTAAATCATGAAAGAATCTTTTCAAGTTTCAAATATTGTAAAATTCATAAAATGCCAAGCTATATTTTATCACCGATCAGATATGGAAATTTAGGGATAAAGTCATCTAATCTGAATCAATATGAGAAAAATAGGTAGCTAAACTGATATAAGTTAACACAACCAGTATCCAACAAAAACGTTATGAATTCTAATTCGACAACCATTCTTTTATAATTATTTTGGATGCATTTTTATCTTTTTTTTGTCTGATCAACTGTGAACTGTATGATACTTTTTTCATATAAATATAAATACGAAACAGTGTTCTAAATATGTCAATTCAATAACTATGAAGTGGTGTATTGACAGTGTTATACCTTCATACATTGTAAATGCAGTACATTTTTTAATATGTTGTAATACAGCCTTACGCATATCAATTTTTTTTAAATACAACAATTATTGCACATTTAACAATTCATTTCTTTTGACAGCACAACTATTGAATAAAATACTGTTCGATTATACAAGTTCATGTATCCTGTGCAATTCTATGACATTTCACAGATTAAAGTTAATCTTACTAGCCGTTATTTTTTTCCTTAACATTGTTATAGCTATGAACACAAAAAAAACTCAACACTTTTAACAATATACATAAACAACCATTCTCATTTTATTTTAAATAAATGAGCATATCTTTTTTTTTATCTAAATTTGATACCTGATTAAAAATCTTTACTTTAATATCTGATTGTAATCCGATTGTAAAATCTGATTAATACAACAACCAATAAAGCTAAAATGGTATTCTGAATTTTACTTCAATGAAAAAATATGATAAAAATAAACAGAACAACATGACAACTGCAACCTATGGAAGAATTTTGAAGAAAATAATACAACTGATGTAAAATGTAACCTGAACCTAAGTTTCAATTTTTACAAAATTAGAACTTAGTTTTTACATCTACAGTTTTGCCTTCTTCTAAAGCATCATATACTTCTGCATATGCTTCACCAGACATTGTTCCTCCATTCACATTTCTTTTCTCCTCACTAACACTAGATCTGTTAGATTTATCTCCCTTTACTGATGACTGACTAGACAGACGTTGAGGCAGATTAGATTCCTCCTTTTTTCCTTTAACAGAACCAGGAACCAGATAATCATCTTCAGATACCAGAATATGCTCCTGACTTCCAACTGAGCGGTAACCAGTGTCTTCGCTACTACACATGACATCATGTGGATCAATATGAACATGTTCTGGTAAATGTCTTTCGTCAGGTATATTTACACTGTGTCTTTGACCAAGTAATTTCTTACTGTCATCCTCTCCTTCTTCCTCTTCACTTTCATTGTTCTCTTCATCTTTCTCATCTATATCTTCCTCTCTCATAGACTGTGATAATTTATAATCATCTATATGTATAAATCCAGTTGGACTGGTACAAGTATCTCCTTCATTTAATTTCCTTCTCTCGTTATCCATTCTTTGAATCAGTACTTGTATTTCATCACTTGTTGCATATGCTAGATCACTCTTTTTACGTCTGTTTGGCATCAGTAGAGGCTTACCATCCCAAGGCTGCTGGTATGGGTTAGCATCCTTATCATAGGAGTTTTCTGATGCAGGACTTTTTGGCACAGTTGGTGATGAAACTAGAGGAGACAATGGGACAACAGGTCCAGTTGGAGGTATAGCTGGAACTGTCGGTGGCACAACAGGCAATGGAGGTGGGAGAACAGGTGGGGAAACTTTCTTCGGTTCTGTTGGGAAAAATGAACCCATATTTTTGCCAGGAGTAGCAGGTTTAAATGGTGAAGTTGGGTATTTTCTTCCATTCTCTACAGAATCATAATAATTACCAGCTTCATATTCATCATACACATTGTCCTCTGGTGATGGCAAAGGTGGAGCAGTGATAGTCAGACTGTGTGAAAATCTATCTTCTTGTTTCTTCCTTAATCTCCTCCTCCTACAATGTGTAAACAAATGAGAGAACATGCTTCAGTACTATATGATCATATTGAGATGTTATAAACAAATTGTGTATGGATCCCTAAACCGACTGACAGTGTGAAATGTTCCAGCATTTCTTAACTCTGCAATTCTTATCTTAATACTCTATCTACAAAACCTTACAAGGAAAACAAATTTTCAAAAAGTTCTTTATTTCGGTGCCCTTTATAGCTGACTGTGCGGTATTGGCTTTGCTCATTGTTGAAGGCCCAGTGATATTGTTGTCTTTTTTCAAAACTAACTCTTCCCTTTTTTGGGGGGAAAAATGCATCATTCTTTTTTAAATTGAAAAGTTTTGAATAAGAATTAACTGTACTAAAACTTGAATTTGAAGACAAGACTTTCTTTTTTTGCACAGTTTTTTCACGTAATATTTTGAATTGTGAGACATTTTCAACTGGAAAGGAACTTTTTGGGGAAGGGAAAGAAACAGAAAAAATGACGGTACTTAATACATTGAAAACCACGTGTTACAAACACCACAATGATTCTAATCAGAAACCTGGATCTCAAAAGCGCTTTCATAATATCAAAACAACATGAATATGAAATTTACGTACATTATTACCGTACCGATGCCATCACCGTTTGGGAAAAATGTACAACTTATTGGGAGGTATTTTATGCCATTTTTTTTAGTAATTGGGAATTTTCTCTAGGGGAAAAAGCCTAATTTTGGAGGTAATTTGAGGCAAACAATATCACTGATTAGGCCATATGGTGACCTGTATTTGTTAATTTCTGTGCCATTTGGTCTCTTGTGGAGAGTTGTCTCATTGGCAATCATACCACATCTTCTTTTTCTATTTATAGTCATTGCAAGTTGCTATCCAAAATGACGATAGCAAAGTCACATTCAAGTATTAGACGTTTTCAAAATAATTACTTAAAACCAACTTGTTGTCTCTTTGACCTATACCCCTCATTTCTAATTTGAGTTATCTCTGTTGGTGTCATTTATAACTTGTCCAAATCATATTAACAGTCTGCCACTTTAGCTACTAGCATTTTGTTCCAGTCTACTAAAAGTAGGTTTAAAATTCAAGCACCTTTTTAACATTGAGGGAGTACAACATACAGTATTAAGTTACAGGAGCAGCCATAATATTGTTTGTACATTTTGTCAGGCTTGCGGTGAAACCGATCGCATTGTTTGTATTTTATGTCCCTCTTAGTTATATATCTATCATGTATTCAAGTATTTATATATCCTTGGCTTTCAAGATTTTGGGTTTAACTTAAGCATTCCTGATATAGGTAAATATAAATTATATAGTGTTACTATTATCTAGAAAACAAACAAACCTTCTACAACATACTACTATTATTATTAACACTACAACGACCAATCCTGCAACAACCCCAGCCACTATAGGTACCATGTCTGTAATCAAACAATAAATAAATAATAATAAAACCAATTAAAACAGGCAATTATGATAACAACAGAGTTAGATAACAGCATTCTATTTTGTTTCTTATAATAGTTATATTTGATCAAGTTAAGATAATCTATGTATATATGAGTATCAGAGCAAGGGTTCCTAAAACATTTTGCATGCAATTTTGGTTATGTTTTGAGGAATTATAAAAAGAGGACTCGAAAGTCTGGGTCATTTTTTCAATAAACTGTCATATTCATTCCAAAAGTCAATGCAAAAATGAACCTGTTTCATGGGCTTTACATCATGAATTACATGAAATTACAATCCTGTTTTAATAAAATCATTTAATAAGGACTTGTGGATTACAAAAGTTTTAAATTAAAATATTGTAATGACCTAGACTTCCGAATTCCTACGGAACTGACCATGTAAGTTTGGATTCAGAGACAATGAATATAAACTAGAAGTTTAAACTAATGGATTTTTTACAAATGAATTACAATTTACAAAACAGGATTTTCTGACAAATGGCAAGACATTATTGTAATTTAATTTCATACTTGTAAAAGTATTTAAATATGGTTGAACATTTTTATACTTTTATAATTTATATGAAAATTGTTTCTTGTTTATGATAAAGTGTTAAATCTTGCAATTGTTAAAAAAACACATGCATATTATGTTTAAATAAAGCACATATATGCCTTTAATTCCGGCATGTATAATTGGCATTTTTTTACTCCAAATTCAAATTGCCAGGAATGGGTGTTGATTATACTGTACAAAAAAAAAGAAATGAGAGAAAATATTGATTCTACAATTTTTTTTACAAAGTAGATGGCCATCTAATTTCATTTCAAATTTTAAATCATTTTAGTTATTTGCTATTTTATTTGGCAATTTTAATGAAAAAATCCAGTCTTGACTGAAAAATATCAATCTTAGTTTAAGTACAAATTTATAAGAATTCTTGTGGGAACTACCTAATGATATTTCATTTTTCATCAGATATGCAACAAAATAATATTCATGTAAATACCTGTTTCTTTTTCAATATTGCCAGGATTAGGATCTTTATCTTCATGTGGCCGTAAATCTACAAAAGACATAAAATTTGATATATCGAAATAATTGCTATGCAATCTACCAGAGTTTTACAAATTTGAAAACATAATTGTCATGTTTGCTGCTACCTGTACAATTCATCACTATCTAACTCCCCTTTAATCTGTAGGTATATATACATGCATTGTGATGTAATAGAAAAGATAGAATAAGGGGTATCCATCCATGACACAAAATCAGTATGTGCACAGCCAAAATAAACACAAAGAGCAAAGGAACAGTGCTCTTATTGCTGTTCTTCATCTCAAAATCACAGTGAGGCCTTCAACACAGAGCAAAAAAACTCTCATCTCACTGCAAGTTTAAGACTGCCCCTAGCATCAGTTTGAGCGGAATTCTTTGCAAGATGACGATCACACCACAACTGTGAATTGAAGAATAAAGCCATGGAGTAATATCAATAAAATAAATCTTGCAAAGAAATAAAACATAAACTGTCATAATAAATTTAGCCCAACAATCCCACTGAAGTGTGAAAAAAAACCCCCAAAAAATAAATGGAGAATGTGTCCATGAGACACAGATGAAGCCCCCCCCCCCCCTTTTGCATATAACTTTATAAAGGGACCTAAGTTCATAACTAGAGAACTGTAAAAGTGAACCAACCCAAATTAGAATTTGATCTGTGTTTTATGGTAATAAGCATTGTGAATAGGTTTCATAACATTTGGTTGAAACAAACTTAAATTAGAGAACGAAAACAAAAATTCAGTACAGTAATTTTCTATTTGTAAAGGTGTATAACTCTATAACAGTAAAAGTGACGCTCCTCAAATTTAAACTTGATCTGTGTTTTGTGGTAATAAGCATTGTGTATATGTTTCATAACATTTGGTTGAGGCAAACTAAATGTAGAGAATGGAAACTAATTTTGGGACGTACAGACGGATGTACAGACAAGGTGCCTCCTCTGCTGCAGCAGGGGCATAACAATATAAACATTTAGACAACCACAGGACACATCGAGATATATTTATTAGATAACTTGGCAGGAAATATCTTTTTTAAATCAATAGTTTGTTTGTCATTCATTTCTAATTTGGGGGAGCATCACAAGAGAATAAGGCCCAACAGATTTCTTAAAACAGAGATATTATGAATCAATACGGATAACTCAGTGCAAGATTGGGAGATTTGAGTCACCTTCTGTCTAAGATTTCCCAATCTTAGATACTTTTTTCATAATCTGCTAGAAGAGAGAGGAAGGATACCAAAGGGACATTGATACTCATAAGTCAAAAATAAACTGACAACGTCATGGCTAAAAAAGAAAAAGACAAAAAGACAAACAACAGTACAAAAAACAACATAGAAAACCAAAGACTGAGCAACACAAACCCCAACAAAAACTTTGGGTAATCTCAGGTGCTCTGGAAAGGTAAGCAGATCCTGCTCCACATGTGACACCTGTCGTGTTACTCTTATAAAATACATTGATAAGTTATATCAAGTGATTACACATTAACTGAATGTGAAATTTTTAAATTGAGACGTTTTTCAATACAAGGAAAAGACGAGACTGGTACCAGCATAAACAACACAAACATTGAAAAATTAAAAAGCACAAAGAACAACACTTATAACTAAAGCAAGAGCAACACGAACCCCTTTAAAACAAAAATACGGGACCCTAGTAAGGGTTATCTCAGATGCTCCAGAAGGGTAAGCAGATCCTGCTCCATATGTGGCACACGTCATGTTGCTCATGTAAGTACAAACCCGGTGATTTGTCTAATTTGGTAGGTCACATTCTAGGGGAAGGGGACGAGATTGTAGTTACGACAATTGGAACATATCTGTCGTCATCTGTAAAACAGATATTCCATAACGGTCAACCAACTCGTGATGGCATCCATAAAATTTAGGAAGGGATGATTTCAACTTCACCACTTTGAACTCTTGGTTTAATAGCATCCTTGTGAGAAGCAACCCTCTATCAAGGAAATCTTGAGAGAAAACACTAGCCCTGGAATATCGTATCAACTGAGAGATATATACTCCGTATGCAGGCGCTGCCGGATTGTTGCTACGTAGAAACAGAAAGTGCACAATTGGGAAGCTGAAATCATCTCTTTTGTCGTAAAGTTTTGTTTTCAACCGACCTCTCATTGTCAATTTCTAGATGTAAGTCAAGATATGAGGCAGACTTAACACATTCAATTCAAATCAACTGTCAAGTATTTAGGGGAAAGAAAAGTGTATGCACAGATTCATCTATTAAAGAGGTTGGGTTAGGAATTAAAACCTCAGGCAATAATTACCAGGTGATACACTGTTAGTCTAGGAAATCTCTGACAAAGGATGGTTTAATTTTCAGTTTTTGATAAGGTTTGAGTCAGTTATGATAGGTAATCATAACCAAGAATATTTATTTCGAAGACTTGCACTCCAGCCAGTGTTTCTCATTTTCTTGGTTCAACACTCTAATGATTTTTAATAAAATGTAATGGAGAAAAAACGTTCTACACAATGTTACATCTAGGTGGTGGGGTGAGTATTTTTAAAATGTAACCAAAGGTTGTACATCATACTACACCACTTGGTTATATGTGTTGATTAACAGAGAAAACTTTCATACTTTTTTTTAAGGAAATTGAGACTTTATAGAAAATTTATTAAGATACAATGTAAAATGTCAAAATTTTATAAACTAAATATTCAAGAAGTACATTTGTTATTTTTTGTATTGTATTTCTATAACCTCTTTGCAAAATTTACCACATGTGTATCATAGCTAGTGATTTCACTTATATGCAAATTAAAAGTACTATTGATTGTGCAAACTTATCATAGTGATAAATTGTTTTATAACGATTTCATAAAAGTTTATGAACTTTAAAAGCTAGCAGATATCTTACCATAAGTTGAGGGCTGAATATTAGATGGAGTGGTTGCAGGATAAAACTCTGGAGGTACACACACATTCTGTGAGCTGTGATGTATTGCTCCAGAACCACATGTTATCATTACATCTACATTTGGCAATGTCGCTGAAATATAAATCAAACATGTCCTGCTAAACAACTGACCATTTTTATCTACAAAATTTGTAACTAGGAAATGTAGCTGAAATTGAGGTTACACTGTCATCAATAGGTCTTCAATGATTTATATCTTTCAAGTTGTTTCATAAATGTTCAGGGTTCTCACTATGGCCACTCCCATGAATATGTGTCTTGACTCATTATTTTCAAAACTGGTGAGTTCAAAGATGCATCAAGATTGTAAGATGTTGTATCAACTGAGCACATTTTTTATTATTTTATAACATAATTTTAAAAATAATATTGATTTATTTTGTCATGGAGACTGAAATAATAAATTATATAGCAATAAAATTTCATCTTCAAACTTTTGGACTCACCATGGCCAAACATGAAAAGTCCCTCGACTCCCCTTCAAAAATTCTTAGTGAGACCCTTGAATGTTGACAAACAGCATGTGGTTTATTTGTTCACAATTCTCTCTTGTTATAAATTCAGATATGATGTTATATTTTTTCTCAAATTTGTTTACCTTTCTTCCATTTTGCTACAGGGATATCATGAGAAAGATCTGATGATGTCAAGTACAATGTAAAAAGAATTTTTTTTTTCTCTACCTCAAGAAGAAAAGAGTGCACACGCTGAAATGTCTCGCCTGCTTTACTGACCATTGATTTTATGCTGATAGTTCTTAATATAAAGCTTTACTACAAGTACCGCATAAACTTAACATGACCCAAGAAAATGAGGTCAAGATCAGATAAACCAAACTGGAAATACATGTACACCTTACAATCATTCCATACACCAATAAACTGCTTTGCTGAGCGCAGCTGGATACACCTGCAGAGGTCCAACCCTGAACAGTTGGGGCAAAAATGGACACAATATTCAAGCTTGATACAGGTCTGAATTTGGATTGTAATTAAATATTTGACATATTATAGGTTTCTGAATAAATGTAGTCAAAGAACTTGAAATTGGTTATAAGAATTGAATTCATATTCAATTAAAGATCTCTTGCTGTTGTGCAATACACTGTGCTGTTGCGCAATACTTAGTAAATCTAATGTCAGACTATAGACAAACAATAACTTCTCATATTATATCAGAAATTTATAAAAAACTAAAGGGAGGTTATCTTAATAGTATAAATCAGTCATCAAAGTTTAATAAAAACTGCTCTAAGCACTTTAAGGATATTGTCCCAAAACTTGAAAATCAACCCTTTTTTATGAATAAAATCTTATAACTCGGAAACGTAAAATCTTAAATTTATAATAAAATGCTCCGCTGGGGCGCAGCTTGATACGACCGCAGAGGTCGAAACCCTGAACAGTTGGGGCAAGTATGGACACAACATTCAAGCTTGATACAGCACTGAATTTGGATTGTAATTAAATATTTGACACAGCATAGGTTTCTGACACAGAATGAAAGTGGTCCAAGAACTTTTTTTTAATTTACCTATTCAAACCATATCATTATTATTTGCTTTTATATATAAATAAGAAATAACCAATTTAAAATGGAAAATTTTAAAGAAAAGAAAGGAAAAAAAAATCCCCCCCAATTTTTTGAACCCCCTTATGATTCATCACCCCCAAACTCAATCCCAGCTTTCCCTATGTGGTATGGTACCTTGCAGTACAATTTCAGAGAGATCCATACACTTGAACACAAGTTATTGTCTGGAAACTAGAAAAATGCTTGCTTTTTGGCCCCAAATTCCTAAACGTTTAGGGCAATTACCCCCAAACTCAAACCCAGCTTTCCCTTTGTGATATGGAACCTTGCAGTACAATTTCATAAAGATCCATACACTTACACACAAGTTATTGTCCTGAAACTAGAAAAATGCTTGTTTTTTTGCCCTTTTATGGCCCCTAATTACTAAAATTTTGAGGGAATTACCCCCAAAATCAATCCCAGCCTTCCCTTTGTGGTATGGGGTACCTTGCAGTACAATTTCAGGGAGATCCATACATTTTAACACAAGTTATTGTCTGGAAACTAGAAAAATGCTTATTTTTTGCCCCTTTTTGGCCCCTTATTCCTTAACTTTTTGGGCAATTACCCCCAAACTCAATTCCAGCTTTCCCTTTGTGATATGGAACCTTGTAGTACAATTTCATAAAGATCCATACACTTACACACAAGTTATTGTCATGAAACTAGAAAAATGCTTGTTTTTTGTCCCTTTTTTGCCCCTAATTCCTACAATTTGGAGGCAATTACCCCCAAAATCAATCCCAGCATTCCCTTTGTGATATGGAACCTTGTGATACAATGTCAGAGAGATCCATACACTTACACACAAGTTATTGTCATGAAACTAGAATAATGCTTGTTTTTTGCCCCTAATTCCTAAAATTTGGAGGCAATTACCCCCAAAATCAATCCCAGCATTCCCTTTGTGATATGGAACCTTGTGGTACAATGTCAGAGAGATCCATACACTTACACACAAGTTATGTCTGGAAGTTACAAAAATGCTTATTTTTGGCCCCTTTTTGGCCCTAATTCCTTAACTGTGGGTACCATAACCCCCAAAATCAATCCCCACCTTCCTTTTGTGGTATTGAACCTTATGGTAAAATTTCATTGAGATCCATTCACTTAAACTAAAGTTAGAGTGCGAAAACTAATGTGTCTTTGGACGACGACAACGACGACGACACAAACGTCATACCAATATACGACCACAAAATTTTTTTGCGGTCGTATAAAAATCAAAAGGGAGCTTACAACAATAGATATAAACAATTTACCAAAGTTTGATAAAAAATGCTGAAAGCATTTTTGAGTTATTGTCTGGAAACTGGAAAATCCCCCTTTTTGTAATGAATAAAACCCCATAAATCAGAAACATATAGTCTAAAATTTAAAAAAATCAAAAGGGATCTCATGTCGATAGAAATAAACAATTCACCAAAGTTTCTTGCAAATTGGTGAAAATGTTTTGAGTTATTGTCCAAAAACAGGAAAATCCCCCTATTTTAATGAACAAGAGTGCACACGCTGAAATGTCTCGCCTTCTTTACTTATCATTGATATTATGTTGATAGTCCTAAATATAAAGCTTTACTACAACTATCACATACACTTAACATGATCCAAGAAAATGAGGTCAAGGTCATATAAACCAAACAAGAAATACATGTACACCTTACAATCATTCAATACACTAAATATAGTTGACCTATTGTTTATAGTTTCTAATACAGACTTAACCAAGAAAACTAAACATTGACCAATGAACCAAGAAAATGAGGTCAAGGTCAGATGAACAATGCCAGGCAGACATGTACTACAGCTTGCAATCCTTCCATACAACAAATATAGTTGACCTATTGCTTATAGTATTAGAAAAACAGACCAAAACACAAAAACTTAACACTGAGCAATGAACCGTGAAAATGAGGTCAAGGTCAAATAAAACCTGCAAGACTGACAGGTACATCATAAAATATTTCCATACACCAAATATAGATGACCTATTGCATAAAGTATTAGAAAAAAGACCAAAACTCAAAAACTTAACTTTGACCACTGAACCATGAAAATGAGGTCAAGGTCAGAAGACACCTGCCAGCTAGACATGTACACCTTACAATCATTCCATACACCAAATATAGTAGACCTATGGCATACAGTATAAGAAAAACAGACCAAAACACAAAAACTTAACTATAACCACTGAACCATGAAAATGAGGTCAAGGTCAGATGACACCTGCCAGTTGGACATGTACACCTTACAGTCCTTCCATAACCTAATATACTAGACCTATTGCTTATAGTATCTGAGATATGGACTTGACCACCAAAACTTTACCTTGTTCATTGATCCATGAAATGAGGTCGAGGTCAAGTGAAAACTATGTGACAGGCATGAGGACCTTGCAAGGTACGCACATACCAAATATAGTTGAACTATTGCATATAGTATTAGAAAAAAAGACCAAAACTCAAAAACTTAACTTTGACCACTGAACCATGAAAATGAGTCAAGGTCAGATGACACCTGCCAGCTAGACATGTACACCTTACAATCATTCCATACACCAAATATAGTAGACCTATGGCATACAGTATAAGAAAAACAGACTAAAACACAAAAACTTAACTATAACCACTGAACCATGAAAATGAGGTCAAGGTCAGATGACACCTGCCAGTTGGACATGTACACCTTACAGTCCTTCCATACACCGAATATACTAGACCTATTGCTTATAGTATCTGAGATATGGACTTGACCACCAAAACTTAACCTTGTTCACTGATCCATGAAATGAGGTCAAGGTCAAGTGAAAACTGTCTGACGGGCATGAGGACCTTGCAAGGTACGCACATACCAAATATAGTTATCCTATTATTATAATAAGAGAGAATCTAACATTACAAAAAATCTTAACTTTTTTTTCAAGTAGTCACTGAACCATGAAAATGAGGTCAAGGACATTGGACATGTGACTGACGGAAACTTCGTAACATGAGGCATATGCATCCGTATACAAAGTATGAAGCATCCAGACCTTCCACCTTCTAAAATATAAAGCTTTTAAGAAGTTAGCTAACGCCGCCGCCGCCGCCGGATCACTATCCCTATGTCGAGCTTTCTGCGACAAAAGTCGCAGGCTCGACAATAAAACCCCATAACTCGGAAATGTAAAATCTAAAATTTATAAAATTCTAAAGGGAGCTTACATCAATACTGAATAGATATACATGTAAACAATTCACCAAAGTTTCATAAATCAAAGCACTGTAAGCGCTGTAGGCAGTTAACTAAAAACCAAGGCAAACGTAATTATGAAAACTTTGGCAGTGTTGCTTCAAATTTTTTTAAGATTTGAAAGAACAAACATTAAACATTCGTATATTGTACATTTATGTTCATTAAATGAATTGATTATTAAGGCAAATTAATTAATATCTTATCAAAAGCAACTCATATATCAATGTAAATGACCCCCATCTTCACCCCCATATGCATGATGT